CTGTGAATGTCTATCTTTAATTGGAGAATAGGCTTCCCGTAATGATAAAATAACAGTGAGACTGTAATTTTAAATATGTTGACTCTTTTCTAATAAATATCTTTGGTTTCTTTCTTGGTTTGCTGAGGGAGTTCACATGAGTACTTTCCAAACAGAAAGATTAACTGTCCTTTAATTGGAAGAGGTTAAACACACTTTTCCTGCCTGCACATACTGTTTGTTTTCTAGGATGTTAAAGAAGATTCCTCCACCAATAAAGAGAAAAATGTATGCAATGGAATAGCTGCTTTGCTTATTGCGTTTTGCGCATGCAGTGCTGTTGATAGTCACACTCTTCTAGCCTAATATAGGACAGGCCCATCCATGTGTACTTCACAGTAAACCCCATTATGTTCAGTGGGCTAATTCCCCAGTGTATATGAGATTGCAAATTCAATAACTGAGCTCTAGAGTTTGTTTTACATATTTTCCCCGAATATAATGTATTACATAACAGTCAATAAATGGAACAAACACCACCAAATGGAAGTTAATTTTGTTAGTAAATAGTAATAGTAATGCATCTTTTATAAATAGATGTTTGATAGAGTGTGTTCATTGATGGGAGAGCAATAGAGAAGCAATTATTGTATGAAAACATTGAAATCTTTAAAAAATAGTAGTTAATTGGAGGTGGAAGTATATTTTGATCATTGCCATTTTTTGAAGAACTGCAGAGATGACTCCTTGAGAAAACCATCTTGCCTTTCCTTTGTTGTGTCTGCAGGGGCAGTTCTGGTTATCCATACTGTTGTATGTATTTACATATTTTCCCAGTGAAGGTAATTCCAAGGAGTAGAATTTTTTCCTTCAGTCCCTGCCCTATCCTCTCATTACAGACTTTATAATCAAGTTGTATAGGTTTTATTCTTTTATCTAATGCCTCCAAATATTAGGAAATTAAGTACCATTAATTCATTGTCTGTTTCCTTTCTAAAAATATTTAATTATCAGAAACTTTCACAGTTTTACTGGTGGTCTCTCACATGTTTGAATTCATACAAATTCTAAAATGATCTCTCTTTGCTTATAGAAGCTTAGTCTCCAGCCTATCATCCTTTTCCTGCCAGAAGCTTGTAGTTGGGCTTGGGAATGAAAGAGATATACAGTATATCTCTGTATATGAATGAATGAAAGAGATATACAGAAAGTTATATACAGTATATGCAGTAGTGAAAGCTGACATCTAATGTTTTAATTTAAAAACAGAGTCTGCACTAAGTAATGAGAGTGAGAAATGTACAACTGTACAGATACAGAAAGGAAATTTTTAAAAGCTGCTGTGGAAACAAAGGTTTGAAGTATTGAAACTTGAAAAAGAGTAACATTCACTTCAAATTAAGAAATATTTACTTCCTATACCTTGTTACCCTTATGTTGCTGGATACCACACTCTTACTACATAAGGCATATGCAAGGAGGAAAAAGTGGAATGTGTCTTTTATTTCTGTATACCTTCTGACCCATACCCCCAGTGCCTGCACATTTAGGGATCTTGAACAAGACTGTTCATGAGAGTGATGTCCTCCCAGTGGGGTATTCTTCGCATGTGTGATTCTCAGCTAGACCGCTTATGTGCTGACCTTTCTGATTCCTTAAGCTTAGCCTGTGGTGCTGGCTGACACCATCCTATTCTTCATCACCTCATACACCAAGAGTCTTGGGTGAGCTGCTGATGGCCACCATTGTGTCCACAGACACATCTTATGATCCCTTCTAGGCTTCTTGCTCTTCATGATTTTTATTTTATTTTTAAGCTCTTTCAAAAGCTTCTTCTTTTAAACTGGGAGGGTACCATGCTTCCTTCAAAGCAGTGTGCTGCCTTTTGATACAATTTTTATTTGAGTTCAAAAAAGTAGTGTCACATTTTGGAATTCAGATTCCACCTCTGTCCTTGTACTTCAGTTCTTGATAGGTTACTTTTAATCTCACCAATTTAGCTTTCTGGAAAATGGATATTATATGAGTGGATGTGTCCACCATGGTAGCTATTTTATGAATTGGCAAGGTGCCCCATAGCAGCCATGTTGTAAGAGTACTGACAGTACTTTCTCAAAATTCCAGTTGTGTCTTCCACACCAGATGTCCCCACTATATCATATAATAGAGTGCTAGTAGCTGTGCAGTTTTTGAGAACAGTTCAAATATTGGGATGCTACCATGGGGAAGCACTGTACAGTTATTTCATGTTTCCTTCCTTACCACATATTTTAAGGTAAAAGTAGAAAGCAGTGGTGGAAAAACAATGTAAGATGAGGACTTATTGACATAAAAAATCTTGAACAGGACAAGGCAGTTATACAATGGAAACATAGTCTGAATGTACCCTTGAACTGAGGGATAACTTGGCATTTTTATGAAGGATTTGCACCAGTTTTTGCCTTGGCATTCTTCTGATGTTTGGAAAGTTTATAAATACCACCATAACCTGGTGTCATAACTTTACAAGATGGTGAGAGATTTTGCCATTATAAGTTAAATCTACTTCTTTAATAACTTATTAGTATGATATTAACATACCTTAACTTTTGATACGAAGGTTATTTGTACCTCATACTCATGAAGGCATAGCTCTGAGAAGTTGTTGAATTATGAGAGTGACAGGAATTTTGGCTGAAAATGGCTTTTTAATGTTTACAAGTACAGCCATGCATTGGAGCTTTGTTACTTTATTTATGAACATGAGAAATGGGGCAAGCATATAGACAATGTCCTTTTATATCTTGCAAGTGTGGGAGAATGGCATGCATAAGAAATATTTACACATGTCAAACTGATGAACTGATTTTAAATTGCACTGTAAATAGATAGAAAATTTATGTTGCAGTGCAGCACACAAAAAGTTACAGGCCTCAATAGAATAAAAAAGAGATTTCAAAATCCTCCTATGAAACCATTTGTGGAAAAAGAGCTTTCTCATTTTATTTTTCAGAAAATCTTTAATTTAAACCATTATATATCTTAGTTAAATATAATACAGTCATTAAAAAGTAGCAAGAGAGAGTATAATTTGAAGAAAAGAACAAGAGGAGTTTTTAACCCTTCCCCCCATCCCAGTAATGACCATTATTATTAGTTGTTTCTTTCATTTCTCCTTTCTAAATGTTTAATTTAGACCAGTGATGGCAAACCTTTTAGAGAGCAAGTGCCCAAACTGTAACCCAAAACCCACTTATTTATCGCAAAGTGCCAACACTACAATAAAACCTGAAAACTGAGGTATTAGTTTAGAAAAAGCAATTCACACCCTGTCCAAGCAAGCAAATCAATCAATCAGTCAATCAGTCCTTGGCAGCGCACAGTCCGGCCATGCAAAACCTCGGACGAGTTGCGGCTAATGAGTTGCAGCTCGTGACATCATCTCCTGGCACCGCTACTCCTTTCCAAGCATGTGCATGGCCCCTATGTGTGCTGTTATCCAGTGCTCGGCTGCTGGGGCAATGCTGGGGTGACTTGGCTCATGTGCCAACAGAGAGGGCTCTGCATGCCCTCTGCGGCATGCGTGCCATAGGTTCACCACCACTGATTTAGAGCATACAGCACTCCTGGCTTCCTTTTTGACTAATCCACTTTGAATTGTGTTGTTTTAATTCATTCATACAGAATAAGATGAAAATATAAGATAATAATGATCCTTAATGTAAAGAGCCACTCCTAATATCAAAGATAACTTTGCCCATGCAGAGACTGCTCCCTGAAGAGCTGTGCCCAAGTCCTTACATTTCTGCAGAGCATCATTAGATTAGATTAATGTTGCACAATTGCAGGCCTGGTTTCTTTTCTTGCAGCAGAAGGAAAATATGTCCACTTGCTTGCACAGAAGGGGCGTGAAGGTGAACTAGCCTCCAAAGGCGGTGCGTGGTTGGGTTGTTGGGAAGTAGAAATGGTTTTCTTGGATATACTTTCAGCTTAAGTTGGAATATTTTCTGGGGGGAAGGGGGTAGTGTTTTCTGTAGTAGTATGGAAAATCGAAGGTAAATCTTGACACTTACAACAAAAGACCAATGATGGGTAGTGCCAAGAACAACCTGTCTAGAGCAGCCTAATTGTTGAGACAAACATTTGACACACACACCTGATTCTGGTCGGCAGTTTTCAAAACTAATGACCTAGGGCACTGCTGCCAAACCCTGCAGCCGAGCATCAGGTAACAGCATGCATAGGGGCCATGCACATTCTCAGAAAGGAATAGTGGTGCCAGGGGATGACATCACAAGCCGTGACTCATTAGCTGCGACTCATTAGCTGCGACTCGTCGAAGATTTCACATATTTGCTTGGACTGCCTGTGAATTGTTTTTCTAAACTTAAAGCTCAGTTTCCACCTTTTATTGTAGCGCTGGCAATTTGCAATAAATAAATGGGTTTAGGGGTGCAGTTTGTGCACTCATTTCCTAAAAGGTTCACCATCACTGGGATAGGGTTAACAAAACAAGGTGTCCTGGCATGATTTTGATGTTTTGAATGTGTTTTGTATGGACAGAAAAGCTACTGAAGGAAGGCTTTTTCAAATCTCCCTCTTTTCAGTGGAACTTTAACGCTATATTAGGGCAAGGGTTGTGCACCAGGGTAGGGTTAGGGTTAGAAAAACGAGGTGTCTGGGCATGATTTTGATGGATGGAATGTGTTTAGAATGGGCAGAAGTGTTGAGCCGTGCAGAAAAAGCTACTCAAGGAAGGCTTTTTCAAATTTCCCTCTTTTCAATGGAACTTTACCACTTTATTAGGGCTAGGGGAGTGCACCAATGTAGGGTTAGGGTTTTTTTCATTACCTTCATTTGGTACATATTGTCTTTTTCTTCTGTAAAACTTATGTAACAGGACTGTTTTTCCTTAGCCACTGATATTGTATAATCAAACTTCCCAAACCTGGTGCCCTCCGGATGCTCTGGATTATAATACCAGTCAGCTCATAGTAACAAAAAGATTATTTATATAAAAAGTGATTTTTTTTCTTTTTCAGGTAATAGAATCATTGGGAATTATAATTTATAAAGCGCTGGATTATGGCTTGAAAGAAAATGAAGAACGAGAACTCAGCCCTCCTTTGGAACAGCTTATTGATCATATGACTAATACAGTAGAAGCAGATGGAAGCCAAGATGAAGGCTATGAGGCTTTGGATGAATGTGTTGTGGATGAAAATGATAAAGAGGTTGTTGAAGTTGTACAGTCTTACAGAGATGTCATGAAGGTACAGTATTAATCTGATTATCTAATTTTGGTATCTTAAAAGGAGTTGATTATTATAGTAGGCTTTAGCATATGCCTAGCATTTTATAAGGTACCAAAAAACAATAGACTTGCTGGAATTGGACTGCTACCATCCAGTTAAAAAGTGTGTGTTTGTCTTTTTATGCACTTACTAATGACCCATATAAACTAAGTGCAGAACCCTGACAAATAGGCTCCATGCAGGCACAGACCCTATGCATAAATACACAGATGGCTACTCTATAGGTAAGCAAAGCATCCTGCCTTTCTTTCCTTGAAGTTATTGTATCACAATATGTTTGAGAGATTTTCTAATGCTATTTTAAAAAAATGGTACAGTCTTCTGAAAGGACTGCATCTGTGTAATTAGTTGTGTGACACTGAATTTACTACATGCTTTTTTAGTAAAGCAAAAAAAAAGAATAAAAAGTGTGGTTGTGTTCTAAAGCTTAGTTACAGCTGGCTGTGTACCTGCATATATGTACTATTACTTGGTAACTATCTTTTGTGGCATGTGTTCTTCTGACATATCATTATCAGTAATTTACACCAGCAGTTCTACCCTTTGCAAGTAGAGGTTCCTGCACTGTTTTTGCTTGCTGATTTGAAAACTTCTATTCTTTAAATATTTGTTTTAAAGGGACATAGAACTTTATCTTGGCTCCATTATAAAAGCTTAGGTGAAATTACTCGGATGCAAGTTCTCTGAAGAATATCACCTTTGCATTGATACCATGTTCTTCCCTACTCCATACACCTTTATCGCGTTTCACTTTTCTTGAAACAGCTAAAAGAGAAATCTGCATATCCAAGTAAATTAAGATTTTAAATGTACACATTGTATGGCAGCAAGCAAGTAAATGTAGGTTACTTTGCTATGCAATTACAATTTGTTATTTGGTTTTTTGTTTTGTATGTGATTTTTGTTTTGGGAGTTTTGTATTGACATTTTATTAACAAATTATTACTGGAGACATATGCTAAAAAATTTAGTACAGTTATCAGTAAAATACTGTAAGCAACCTGTGGTATCTAGTATGTCACTAGTTGTTCTCACTGAGTAACCACTGATTTGCTCATTGCTCACATCAGGCTCCTGTACATGCACTGGAGGTAGCATGTAATACATCAGGGTGGCCAAAACGAGGCTTGGGAGCTGCATACAGCTCACTGAGTTTATTTTGCAGCTTGCTGAGGTGGGAGCCCATGGGCACCTGCTTGCCACTCACCACCTGCTGCAAGTGCTCATGGGCACTTGCTTGCCACTTGCCACTTGCCTGTGAGCACCTGCTTGTGGCTTTCAAACATCTAACATTTACTATATGTGTTTCTTCCACTGAGCAAATTGGGCCGCTCATGTAACAGATAAGACATTTGACCTGTATACTTGTACCCAGGCCAGTGCCAGTAATGAAAATTGTCAACTATGCTATCAGATAAAATACCACAAGATATGTACAACAGGAGAGCCAGTGTGACATGGTGGTTAGAGTGCTGGACTCAGGTTCTAGTGCCCACTCAACCATGAAACCCACAGGGTGACTTTAGACCAGTTACTACCCCTCAGTCTAAGTTACATCACAGGTTTGTGGTTATGAGGATAAAACAGAGAGGAAGAGACCCCTGTAAGCCACCTTGGGCTCCTTGTAAGAGGCAGAATCGTGGGATATAAAAGTAGTGTCACAACAACAGCAGATCAAAAGCCTTTAGATATAGATAAACCTTCTCTATGGTCCCTATGACCTTATGGGTTCTACATGGAGCCTCATTTTGGAAGACCCATATATATGGCCACACAGATTACCACATAGTGAACCACAGATACAGGTATGCAACCTGTTTTTCTACTGGATTTATTTAGCAATGTAAATATTTCTTCTTTCAGCTAGGCATACAGACTTTCTCTGTTTGGGCTTAGTGTTTACACTGTCAATGTTGGAAAACAGAAATGTATTAATTCTTTTGGGTAAGACCTGTCAAAATTCTATTCATATTTACTGTTGAAATATTCCAGTATTGCCTGTATACCATGGTGAGTACCATATGGATGGCAAGGTTCTTTCACAGGAATTTTGCAACCTCCAGAGTCTCATAGTAGTAAGAAAATACTCAAATTTTCCTTGAAACATGATACAGAGGAGTATATGTGCTTCTTTTCCGGGGAGTGCAGCCTTGGTTTAAATCATACTACTGTAACGACTAGCTCCACTAGTTGTTCCCTTAGATTCTGAATCAGAACTGGAAGAAGAGGTGTGATTGGAATTCTTAGTTGAAATGCCAACAGATTCAGAAATAAGCCAAATAGCCATGAGAACACATCTACTTCTGTGGGAAACTTTCTTGAACTTGTGGAGTTGGATGGTGGTAGACATAACATTACTAGCCTGATTATATTGTGTCAGATTAAACAGGCTGCCCATACATTCCCATACATTGTCCCACAAAAGTATGAACCATCCTGAAGGTGCCATCAATTCCCTTGGGTTGGGAAGGGAAGTAATCAGTTTCTAGTCATTACATGTATTTTCCTAATAGCTAGTATTCTAACTTCTCTGGTATCTTTTGTTACTGTCTTGTGCAATATTGTTTGCATCACAAAGCCAACCTAGTTGGTCAGTTTTAATATAGTAAAACCTTAGACGGCAGACTGGCTTGTAACAGGTACCTATCCCCCCACCATGCCTTGCATTTCTTTCCCTACATGTATGTTTCCCTACACATTCTGTAATGCAGGTTCTGAGGGGAAGAAGGAAACTGGTCCCCAGATCTGTGGGAGATAATGTATCATCACGGCTTTTTTTAAGGTTCTGGTGCTCCAAGATTTTGGAGTGAAAGTTGTGGATTTGTGTTTGGCCTCCTGAAGCAGGATACCTGTTAGGAGAAGTATTAATAATGTGCACAAATGCCCATGCATGTTCAGGCAAAAAGCATTTTACAAAGTGCCCCCTTGTTATATAAGTTGTAAATATATTTTCATCACAACAGGAACATAGAAACTTTCTTATGGTAAGTCAGACCACTGGTCCATCCTTTCTAGTATTGTCAGCAATGAGTAGTTGCAGTATTCCAGGGTGTCAGACAGTTTTTCCTGCCCTATTTGAAGATGTTAGGAATTGAACCTGATACCTTCCACATGCAAAGCATGTGCTCTACAACTTGTGAATAATAAATGTGTGGCATGAGGACAGAGAGAAATAGTTTCTGCTAGCATATCAAGAATGTTCTGCTGGCATATTTCTCATACTGTGGGAGTATACCAAGTCCTTCCAGCAAAACAAAACTTTTACACTTTCTGGAGCCTTTCAGCCAGTGGATCTTGATTGCAGTTGTCTAAGTTAGCAAAAAATAGTTTTCATTATAGGATACATAACCTAGTCATATTGTAAACATAACATTATAAAGAGCTAGTATGGACATTTTACATAATAGTTTGATAAGGAAACTGCTTAAATTCCCCTGTGCAATTTGTTTGCTTCAACTGTATCAAGCTGTAGTTCACCCTTCCCCAACCTGGTACTCTTCAGATGTTTTGGACTACAACTCCCAACATACTTAACCATTTGCCATGTGGGCTGGAGCTCATGTCAGTTGTAGTCCAAAATATTTGGAGGGCACCAGATTAGGGAAGGGTGCTGCAGGTTCTTCAGTTAGTTTAGTTTGTTAACAGGCAATTTTCACTGCTGTCCGTTAAAGAATTAAGGCCAGGTTTAAAGTTAGATGGCTCATAAATTTTAAAATGGTTCAAGCTCATATGCTATTTGCATGGCAGGGGTTGAAAGAAAAGAGTGGAAATGCTATTGCTTATGTGGTTTCAAATATTATATTAGATTTTATCTTAGTTTAATCATTATATCCCTTGAGATATAGATATGAATGTTCCACATTCTTCAGAACTGTGCTGATTTTCAAAATATCAGACATTCATTCACTTTACTGACTTAAAAGGATATGATTTCTTGACTTACTATAGTGGAATATTTTGCAGATAACTTTTAAGACAGATCAGAAACAGTTCTGTTAATTAAGAAATCAAAGACTATCGATGCAATATAAAAAAGACTTGTAGTCAAGGTTTACAGTTCAGTTTATGCCACTGTGGCTCTAACAGTTAATGTAGCAATTTTTAAAACCAAATTGCAGTATAATTCTTGAGGGGTTCTGGCTTGAAGTCTCAAGTTGGCAAAATAAATATTCAGCTTTATTTTTTTAAGAGCTGTTCTTTCATATTTTATTTTATAAACAAGGAACTCTGCAGTGTTCCCTTGCTCCCAATTACAAGAAGTTCAGTCCTGGAGCGTGATCCAAATTTATTTTAGAGAACTGAAAGTAAAGGTCTAGATGAATAACATAAGAAACACAATGGGTAAGCACAGACAAGAAGCAAAAGCAGAATGGAGCAGGATACTGAATGCAACTTTTCAGTGACTATCACGTAAGAACAAAAAGAACTATTACAATGCCCAGTGCAAAGAAAGAGAACAACAACAGAAGAAAAACAAAATATTTCTTCCAGATGATCCAAGAAATCAAACGGAAATTCAAATGTTAAATAAGAATCCAGAAAGACCAACAGGGAAACATATCGTCTGACCAAAAGAGAATAAATGTAGAAGCAATATACAGAAGACTCATGCTGAAGAGAGAAAAGCATGACAAAGAGAACTCCTATGAGGAAAAACCTGCAACCTTAGAAAGTGAAATGAAAGCTGCTCTGAAAGCAGTTGTAAAGCACCCGGAGTAGATAAGACATCAATAGAACTATTCCATGAGAATGAATCAGTACAAATCCTAGCAAGAATATGCAAACAATACGGAAAATGAAACAATAACCGACAGACTGGAAAAGTTTGCTATATACAGTCTGTTCCCCAAGAAAGGAGATGTTAAGAAGTACAGCAGCTATAGGACCATTGCGCTATTTTCCTATGTCAGCAAAGTGATGCTGAGTGTTGCAACAAAGAATTTTACCAGATATGGAAC